ACACATCACGGTTTGTTTCACTTATTTTGGCTGATAAGACATGTCCTCAAGTGATTGTGTGGGCAAGTAGATATTATTTTTTTGACAGCTTCCCATCTCTACCAGGGCATCCCACTTTACACGGTGATGCTAAAGGAATGCACTTCTTCACACAGAAGTCACCATTCTCACATAAGTGGCAAATAGAAAACATAAAAAGGACTTGTTTAGGTCGCTTGTTGGTAATCACATTACAGGAAAAGATGACTTTTTGACCACTGTGGCCACGAAGCATGAAAATACGAGCACTCAAACGTGTTAGCGACACATAACAAAATCATGGCAGGTCCATTCCCTTGATCGGCAAGTGGAGTGAACTGGTGAGAAAAGGCAGCTTTGCACTGGCAACAAGGGGAAACGAATGAAGACAAATTAAAGCTTGGATGCCAGCAATGCACAAATATAAAACTGAAGTGAAATGAGGTCTGAGACTAGTGCCGACTAGTAAAATCATTGCATGCCACGCTAAGTATTGCAGTTTCATGTAGCCCCCAGCATAGTTCCACCCACCTTCAGGCTAAGCCGAGGTCGAATCAACTACTAAAAACAAACTTTCTTTTATAAATGCAAAAACAAAAGCCTCTGTACTGAGCTATTACAGTACAACCAAATATTAAGCAGATATTAAATTTCACCATCAGTTCCTACTTTATTCATTTCCATAATTTCTGATGTCATACTCACAATCAGAGAAACTTGGCTGCATCTGTTTCACGGTCTTCTTCTGTGCCAAAGGCATTACATAAATTCAGGACACGTAGTTTGAATGGCCGTGTAATCAAGCTACTGTTCCCAGAATAAACATTAGTTTGTAGGTTATATGCCAATTATAAGTCATAATAACATCATTGCTTAGTAACATATTAGGTGTTATAAGGTCGTTAAGGTATTAAAATAGCATCATATAAGCTGAAAGCTCAGGTTTCAGGCTGCTCTAAACACTGTTTTTTTTCTACTCCTAGAACTTCGTGATGTCACAGAAAGATACCCCGCCCACCTGCTATTCACACTAAAATATTTTGTTTCATACGCAGGTGATCTGAAGGGCTTGATACTACCCACTACTCAATGGTTTTTATTCCACTTGACATGCTTTACTGCTAATATAGAGTATCTGATAAGTTTTCAAAGTAAAAGACTGAGTCACTGCAGATTAGGTCCTGAAACTTAACATCCTGAAATTCAAACTTCTCTAGTAGAGTCCAAGAATAGAAAATGGAGATGGAAAAGATAAATCACATTTATGGTCAGTAAATATTTTTTGAACGTTTATGCCTATTTATTATACGATTAAAAGAGGAACAATTAAATATATTTAAATAAATAAACATAATTTAAATATAAATATATGTAATATTTGCTTTGTCACTGAACATAGTTTGGTCTTCATTGTAAGTAGACTGTCAAGCGCTCAGTCTGAATATGTTTTATCGGTCTGTCATTGACTATCTTTGATATGTTCCCTGCCTCTTGCCCAGTGTATTCTGGGATAGACTCCAGCCCTCTGTGACCCTGAGTGGGTATAAGCTGATGTAGAAGATGGATGGATGTCTTGGCTGCAGGTAGAAGTCATTTTCCAAACAGCTAAATGAGCCATTTGTCACAGGGGTCAGCCGTGACTTTGACCTATGGTTGTCAGCACAATTTGGCTTCTGTTATGCAGAGCAGGTTGTTTCAGCACAGAGGAGTCAACTCTCACATAAAATGTAGACAATGGACTCAAAGGTGTGAGGAGCTAAAATCAACAGATCATTTAAAACAGAAACCCGTGTGACAGCTATTCCAAAAAAAAACAAAAGACTGAGTACCAATCGATTATTCTTAACCATGGGCTGGATGACTGAAAACCTACACAGACCTCATGGACGAGCTAACCACTGGGTTAGATTTCCCACAGAAGAAAGGCCACACACCATACCTAAATGCATTTGCAATGTTTTCATTGTTTCTGAAAACTATTGGGTGCAAACATTTGTGGATGGAGAGGAGGGGCAGTAGACAAGGAAGAGCGGAGAAAGCAGGGGCAATGACACGCAGGAAACGATCGGAGAAGACTCGAACCCCGGCCCCTGCAGCTCATTTGGTACGTGGGTTGCTAGCTTAACCACGTCAGCTCTAGCAGCACCAAAAAAACAATAATTTTCTAACGCATAAAACATATAAGAGAATTCCATCTTAAAAACCAGACTATTTCTAAATAGGAACATAGCCCTCGCTCAGTTCTCCTGTATGTGTGAGCAGAAAGGTTTAAGAAGCACACTGGACAGGTCACCATACTATCACAGAGAGACAGACAACCACTAATGCTCACGAGATGGCGTAATGACCGTGAAAGCCATAGACAGAACTTTGACATGAATTGAGCTGCGGTTTGGCAGCCTGGCAGATCCTCATGTACTAAATAGGAGTGAAGAAGTTGAAGAATGGAGAAGAAGGAGGGAGGGAGGGTGGGGCACCTACACGAGAATGAACAGATTGCAGAACTAGGGGAACCCATATAGATGGCAGGCGGAAGGAGCGTGATTGGAGGCGTGGTCCTGCTCCTGAAATTCAGATACATAATCTCCAATAAAGTAATCGTTTGAGTCCAAACTATTACATTAGGTTATGCAACATTAAGGTTGCATAAACCACCTCATCCTTTGTGTTTTAGAGCTGCACATCAACAAGCACATTTGTAATGAACTTCAAAAAGTGAGCAAGATTCAGAGATCCTACTTGGCAGCCATGTGCGTTTGCCCGGCTTTGGCTCTGTATAGCAAAAATGTGACCACTAGACTGAAACGCTGCGGTTCACTGTTGTTTGTACAGTGTAGTACACAGGAGCAATGTAGACAACATTTATCAACAAGCAAAAGGCAGTGGTATAGTAGTATGGCTGTATTAGCACCTCTTACACGTGTTGGGCTATTATTAGTTCTATCATCAGTAAAGCTGTTGGATTCAGTCAAATAATTAACTTTAAAATCCATCTATTCATATAATGGATAAGAAAAGCAAAACTCACCCCTGTATAACAGAAGCAATAACAAAATCTTGACACTGGAAAAATCTGATGCAGATGAGATTACTCAAACTAGTCTCTGATTGCCAAAAATGGAAAACTTTGAGTTGATAACCTCACCTCATCTGTACTTCCTGTTCTTACATAACCAAATCTGACATTATGTGCTCCTCCCTTTTATGTTCTTTGGTACAATAAAAAGTGGTAAATAAAGCAATACCTTTTGAAAAACAACCATAAATAACTCTCACTTGGTCACATGGCCCAGCCATATGGTTTAAATCTGCACTACAAAGACTCCCCCAGTACGTGGCAAAAGCACTCTATGAACAGTACGAGTCGCTGAGCTTCCATGGCTCAGGATGACACACGCTGTTGCAGTCAACTCAGCAGCTACAAGCCTTAAAATATGCCTGACCCACACAATTTGCGTAAAAAATGTTTTGGATTTTGCCTCTTGCCATAAGCCACATTATGTAAGTGCAAAGTGTGAGGTATCAAGAGGCGATGGCCCTGTGCCAAGAGTGTGCTGTGATGCTGTGGGTGCAGGTGTTGAGAATATCTCACGTGAAGAGTTCCTCTGAGGATAGAAAGCGCTCCGTGAGATAAATTATCACATGCTGATGCAGTGTTAGCGTGCAGAGAAACGCTGAGAAGCAATGACAGTGAGTGGCGAGGTGTCTGGTTCGATTTTATGAATACAGACGCATTTAGATTTGACTTAAGATGGGAACTGAGCGTTGATGTCATAGCACCTTTTGATGCATTCTGTAAGTATTCAGAAGACTGAAAAGTCTTGAGACAATCAACTTTTGTTTTCTTGACTTTTCCCAGCATGCAACACAGTTTTTAGAGTTTAAACAGTTTTTTTGTTTGCTGTTCTTACTGCACTACTTCTCTATTGGAAATAAAGGCCTAATGTGCCTAATGTATAAATATGCGTTAAATCACTTCAAATTTTAAACACAAAAATGTGCTTTAAAACTTGTAGTACTCTGCTTTGATTGCTTATTTGAAAAGTTCAACTGCTTGGCACAGGATGCCTCTTACTTCTCTAAGTTTGACTTATTTCTTGTGCATTGGAAGCTTTTAGTTTCCACATCCCACTTGTGTAAATGGCATATTTAACTTTGACTGGCTCTCAGACTATTTGATGTCACACAGTCCTGCTTGTGCATCCATGTCCTAAACTAAGATTTAGTGTAAGCACTCAGAGAAACTTTCCTCCTTCAGCAGATGGTTGTAAAAACATCCGTCTAGTGCCAGACACACACACACAAGCACGCACACACACAAGCACCCGCACATTCAAGTGAGGAACTTGTTTCTTGTTTTTTTCCTCATCTGAAAAGCGAAAACTGCGATTTAAAAATCTTTAACTAAAGCATTTGGAATTATAAAAGCAGCAGTTCAGTATATAACAAAACAGAACAAGTAAACAAGTAAAATGATCTTTTGATGTGCAGCAAAGCAGGGAGTAAATTCTGCAGCACTTTGCCATCATACTTAGAATTTAGTTTTGCAGAAACACAATTCCTGGTGTTAGATCTTTCCAAATATTTGGCACAAAATCACAGCAATCTGACTTATGTCACCTTATTAGTTTTGCAGTTATTGGTTTTGCATATGACACTTGAACACAGCTTAAATGTTGTACAGCAGAAACATCAACTGGCCACATGAAGACTGGAAAAATGTGCGCCACATTCCTCCAGCGTCTACAGGGCTTTACGCACGCGCATTCACGCGTGGTTCTGTTGTCAAAGTAACACGGGAGTGTTTGAAAATAAAAGTGAGGGTGTCGTGCTCGGAATGAAAGTGTTTTTCTCGAGATGGGACCTTGTTTAGTGGCATATATTTTCCATTAAAAACATGTGACTGGCGCTGTTTTGATCATTACAAGGTTGTTTTTTTAAAACAAATAATAATTTTCACACACAAGCTGTGGGCCACATACCTTGGAAGACATCCACATCATGACGATCCTCCGAGCTCGCAGATAATCGCAGTCCTCTTGGGGGGTGAGGCGGGGTGGGGGGGGAAGGAATTGTGCACGAAGTCCAGCAGACAGGAGAGAAAATTGCTCGCAAGCTCCCTTCCAATGAGTTTCCACGATGAGTCATTTTTGCTTTAACTTTCCATCTGCCTCCTTGTAAAGGGATATTGTCATTTTGAGGTGGTTTAAATGAAACTGGGGAAAACTGCTGTCGCCGAGTTTCCAACAAGCATGTCCATACAAAACCTGGGGCGAGTCATTTCTCCAGCCATTTTATAAACTGGTGATTCCTGTGCTTAGCTCTCGCAGTGGGTCAGCAATAGAAGGCTTTTTTTTTTTCTTTTGGCCTGTTGTGGAAAAACATAGTTGTGTAGGTGTCATAGAAATAACTGTAGCCCTGGTTTACTAAATGCTGTCTTATCAGTTAGCTTTTCTTTAATGTTAAATACTGGAACAGTTACAAAAGACTTATCCGTATTTTCGTTTCCAATTTTTTCTTTTTTCTTTAGTTTTACTGGCAGCATATAAAGGGGATTATTAATATCCTTAGTCTGCTCTCTGTGAGGAAGTTGTTCAAACATTCTTTAGCGAAGTGGTCAGAGGATTACTAAATACGCGCCACTTTCATGGCCTACAGCTTCTGTCTCTGAATACAAATCTGTCAAAACCCAGCGCAAAAAAAAAAAAAAATCTACATTAGTGCAAACAGATTTTGAACTTTATTGCATAACAGCAAAAACGATCATCCCTATATCTGTTATTGACAGATGAAACTCATAAAGTGCGAATGCATAGCCTGTCTTTACTAGAATTTCAATTTGATGTCAGATTTGGAAGCCCGCACAGCTTAGATGAACAAATAGACTGGTGTGTGGTGAAGATGGTTTGGGGGAAAGGCTGCTGTTAGAGAAGTGCGCGATGGTTAAAAACAGGAGAAAGAGAGAGAAGCATCACAACCTGCCAATCAGTGGCATGAATGTGCGTGTGTGTGTGTGTGTGTGTGTGTGTGTGTGTGTGTGTGTGTGTGTCTGAGGCGTGTTTCAAACTTGTGTTGGGGATGTGAGGGCGGGAGGGGGTCACCTGCTGTTGGGCAGAAATGATGCTCAAAATTATCTTTATAGGGCGTGTTCTTCTTCTTCAGGAAAAATAATTAATAATAATAAACTCTAATTGTAATCACACGTCAGTCTGAATGGATTTTGAGTTAGTACTGTTTTTTCTGCTTATGTCTGTGCCGTTTCCTTTACTGGGGCTCTTGTCCAGCCCGCAAAGCGACTCCGTCACCCCCTCCTCCATTTCCATATACTCCGCTTTGTCACCGAGCGAGGAGCCAGAGGGCGAGCCTTTGAATTTTCTTAGAAAGTCAGGGAAGTACGGGCAGCCCGGGGGCATGCTCTCCACCACCGGCGACTGGTCCTCGTTATCGGTCTCCCTGTGATAAAAGTAGTTGAAGTTGGACACTATGACCGGGACCGGGAGCGCAATGGTTAACACGCCCGCGATCGCGCAGAGGGAGCCCACTATCTTCCCACCCACAGTGATGGGCTTCATGTCTCCGTAACCCACTGTGGTCATGGTCACTACAGCCCACCAAAACGCGTCCGGGATGCTCGTAAACTGCGAGGTGGGTTCGTCCGCCTCGGCGAAGTACACCGCGCTGGAGAACAGGATGACACCTATGACCAGGAAGAAAATGAGGAGGGCCAGCTCCCTCATGCTGGCACGCAGGGTGTGACCCAGGATCTGCAGCCCCTTAGAGTGCCTGGACAGCTTGAAGATGCGAAACACCCTGACAAGGCGGATTATTCTCAGGATGGCGAAACTCATCGCGTGCTGTCCGTTGCCCTGATGCTGCGCCAGGTCCGTGCCGAGAGTAATGAAATAAGGCAAAATGGAAACAATGTCTATGGAGTTCATAATGTTTTTAAAGAAGAGAGTTTTGCTCGGACTGGCAAAGAAGCGAACTATAATCTCAAACGAGAACCAGATGATGCAGACCGTTTCCACGACGAAAAAAGGGTCGTTAAAAGGAGTAAATCCGTGATCGGCTTGAGAGGAGTTGTTTCGTGGCTGTAGATACTCTTTGTCATCCCTGAACTCCGGCAGCGTCTCCAGGCAGAAAATCACAATAGAAATGACAATAACAAGGACGGACACGACCGCGATCCCCCTGGCAGGGCTCGAGCTCTCCGGATACTCAAAGAGCAGCCAAATCTGGCGCTTGAACTCATCCTCCGGCAGAGGTTTCTCCTCCTCTTTGACGAAGCCCTCATCCTCCCGAAACTTTAGTATCGCCTCCTCCCCGAGTTCATAAAACTTGACCTCCTCGGAAAATATGTCAAATGGGACGTTGACTGGTCTTTTTAAGCGCCCGCCTGACTGGTAGTAGTAAAGAATGGCGTCAAAACTCGGTCGGTTCCGGTCGAAGAAGTATTCGTTCCTCAGCGGGTCGAAGTACCTGATCCTCTTGTCCGGATCTCCCAGGAGCGTGTCCGGGAACTGAGTGAGCGTCTTGAGCTGAGTTTCAAACTTCAGACCCGACACGTTGATGACAACTCTCTCGCAGCAGCCGCACTCGCTGTAAACGTTTTCGTATCCGGACTGGGGCCGCCTGTCGGTGATCGACACGGTCTCCTCCTCATCATCCATGTTGCACAAAAAACTCGACCTTTTGCTCCCCCGGTCGCCCCCGCCCCCCTCCCCCTCCTCCTCCTCTTCCTCGGCTCCTTCGGCCTCTTCCTCCTCTATCATGATGTCCTCCTCGGATCCGAGCAGAGCCAGCTCGGAGTGGCGCAGGTCCCCACCGAGAGTGCCCCGGTTCCGTCTCCAGCGTCCGACGCCGCGCTGCTTTTTCCGCTCTCGGACAAATCTCTGCTGCTGCTCGGGCTCCTGCTGGTTCTGCTGCGCGGAGGAGGTGGAGGTGGTGGTGGTGGAGGTGAAGGAGGAGGGGGAGGGGCGCGAGGCGGTACCGCCGCTGCTGATGTTGGCGTTCGCGGAGGAGGCGGCGCGAGACTGATGCTGGCGGTTGTTAAGGAGATGAGCGCTCGAGGAGGTGTTGGAGGTGGACCCTCCGACGCCACCGCAGCTACCTCCTCCTCCACCTCCCTCCGTGCACGTTCCACCTTCGGCAGCAGCCGCTGCGGCCGCCGCTCTGGTGTGGGCAGCCTGGCGCTCCCTCTCGCGCTCCCTCTCCCGCGCGCGAGCCTGGGCATATCCGTAAGGCAGGTGGCTGTTGCACCCACCGTCCGCGCCCACCATGGCAAACTCCATTTTAAGTCAGTGAGCGCTTCGGTCCGCGGACGCTTACAGTAAGCGCTCGCGCGCTGTGATGTGGACGCAGACCAGAGGACAAAAGTTGCAGCTCAGCGCGCGCAGGGAGACAAAATGAGGCATGAAGCCTCTCGACCAATCAGTCGTGAATGCGAGAAAGTCAGAATAGCAAACACACCTCAGATGGGTCCATGCTGAGCGAATCCCATGTATCCTACTTACATGATACTGATTGCCATCTCTTCCAGTTTAGGTACAGCCCCCCCTCCTCCGGTATTTCATGACATCATTACCATATCCAAAAAAAAAGAAGAAGAAGAAGAAAGAAGGAAAAAGATCAGATGTAAAGGCCGGTGGCATAGCCTGTTACGCAGACGCTCGGTCAAACTTGCAGCGCCCCTTATTTGCTCAGCATTGTAAATCACCAAGTCAACAAGCGACACCTAAACAGTCTCTCCTCGGTTCCTCCGGTGCCCATCAGGTGGTTAATTTCTCCGCGAGGCGGGCTTGCGCCCGAATGCGTCTTTTGATCCTCCCTGGTCACTCATGGTTGCCATTTTAGGACGAGTTTAAAAAAGAGAGAGAGAGGAAGAGAGATCTCCGTTATTTTATACAGCTCCGGTGAATTTGAATGACTTTATTCATCTGACGCTCTCAGGAGCTGCGAGAACAAGAAGAGAGAAGGAAACAGCAGTTGGTTTAGGCAAATAAAACCAAAACCTTCATATCGATGTGTGTTGTTTTATCGAATACACAATCAAAATACATCATTGTTATTATCATCACCATCATTATTACTATGGAGTGAACACAAAGGAATATGGAAGACATTTATGGTTACAATACAATTTACGCATTAAAGTATCCTCCCTTTATTCTAACATCCATACTTACATCTGAAAGGGGGCCAAAACGACATCGCCTCAGTCCCCCCCCCCTCCCCCGCCCCCCCCCTCTTCACAAACCAATCTGATGGAGGAAGCAGGGGAAGGAGGCTAGGTGAGGATGCAGTTGTTCACTCTCGCTCAAATCCCCGTTATGATTTTGGAGGGTAACGCCGCAAAATCCCTCGCTGTATCCACGCAGCGACCATATCCACATCCAGTACACACATCCGTGCTCTGACGCACTCTGGAGAGGACACTTTTTTTGGCTGCGTCTCGACGTCTTGTCTCAATTCAACAGGATCTATCGCCACTTCAGCCTCCGTTTCTGCTGCATCGCTTCTGGTATGCCGAGAGCAATAATGTTACCCCCTCCAGAGGAGAAAAAAAGAATGAGAAGAAGAGGAGGAAGTAGCAGGTGTGCGCGTAGCGAGTTGGCATCAATGACAGCTCCACACGAAGACAAGATACGAGGGTGGGTAAAAGTTTACCTTCGCACGGGCGAGGGGGAATGGCTTCATGGTTTAAGTCTGAGCATCGCACATCTGTCTGTCTGCCGCCGTATCCCTACCTATACTCCTGGATCCCTCCCATTGTGTGTGTGTGTGTGTGTGTGTGTGTGTGTGTGTCTCTGTGTGATGATGGAGAGTCTCAGTGAGAAAGTCGCTCGTGTACCGCAGCTCGTGCAGGCGGTGCTCGGTCCTCCCCCAGTGGCTGCAGCCGGTCACTGCGCACCGTGCTGCAGTCTCTCACCCGAGCTTCATCTGCCCTTCATTGTCACTGCTGGGTAGCAACCGGTGTGTTTGTGTCTCCCCACCATTAAAAAAAGTAATGCATTAACATAATATTTTAACTATGCATTTTGCAGTCACCAACCACTTTCCTAAAAAAATTAATCGGTGTTTTTGCTGTTGTTGTTGTTTATTTTCTCATATTAAATCAGAAAATGCATACATCACTTATTTACATACGTCCATATATTGTAACTTTAAAAAGTGTGAATTTAAAGCACTGGAAATACTTTTCATACAATTTCACTTCGCCAAACAATCGTTTAACATTGTTTTTGTTAATATTATCACAGGAAAAAAGGTTAGCTCATGCAACAACAAAAAAAATGTTCACAGAGGCCACAAAAACCAATAATTCATGTTCGCTGTGCCTGCCCTCCCTCTGATATTTGATTAGGAGAGCACTCGAAACAGAATGCAAAGTGTTCATTAACCTCCTATGACCCAGCGATTCATTCTTGTCCTCTGTTGGGGGGACACGAGTCTGAGACCTCCACGAGCACAATTCATGCAATCTATTTGAGTCTTACTGTACTGTCAAGGAGACATCTCAGGGTTTCAAGTTTCCACATGGGCTTTCTTTTCAAAATGATGGCCCTTGCTCATATAATTATTTTACTAAATTTGCAAGAATTTCAAGCAAACTTTTTTTCATTTGGTCATTATGGGGTATCGCATGTAGAGTTTTGAGGTGAGAAATGAATTTGGGAATAAGGCTGTAACATGACAAACTGTGGAAAATGCAAAGAACTGTGAATACTGTCCATTACACAGACAGTGTTCTGTGTAGTGGACAGGAGGACTTACTCATTCCTGTTTTCAACCTATATCCACACTTCAAGAAGCAAAGGAAAGATTGAGGCAGAAAGGACTTTACTCAGAATTGTAGAAGGGGAGTCAGACTTTGTGCTGTCCGGTGATGAGGTGGAGGAGGACCAGACAGAGCAGGAAGGTGAACGCTCAGTGGAGGACATGCCATTGAGAATCCAGTTTGAACCCTACTTTGAACAGTAAATAGGTGTTCATTCATGGCATGATACCTTCAGGACTCAGATATACTGGGTCCCATTTATAGCCAGTTAAATAAGTCAAGACAGATTCTTTAACCCCCTAGGACCTGGCGTCCACATATGTGGACATCACATTTTGGGTGATTTAGACCAAAACACTAAATTTTGTTTTTCAACGGCCTGATATCCACTTACGAGGACATTATACTGCTACTGTTCTATCAAAATTTTAAACGAATATCCTCATATGTGGCTCTGATTTTTCATTAAAACAAAAATAAGGTAAAAAAAATCATTTTTTTTCTTTGTTTATACATTTATCGGGCCCCAATATGCCCAAATATCTAAGAGAAGTTAAAAATGCATGCAGTGGAAGAGTTTGGGTCTTAGGAGGCTAAGATTAGGCAGTCGTTCACAGTAAGAAATGATCTTGATGTTTTTCTTCCTCCTGAGGCCCAAACAAGAAATTGTTTTGATACTGAGATTTTTAACCACTGTGGTTGAAAGAAACACATTACAACAAATTGTTGTTTTCAAAATAATTTATGTATTAATATATCATTTGTCGCTTTGATGGACTGCCTACTTTTGATGAATCTGTCTTGACTTATTGAATTCACTATAACTAGGGAAGTACATTTCCATCCTATGTTATCTGAGTCATGCCATCAACATGGATATGCAGAAGAATGTTTTTGATGTTAATGCTCCACCTTTCTCTGGCTGGCGTGGCTCTGATGTTTTGGTAGTGCCTATTTTCTGTTTGATGTAAACAGGGAACCACCTGTCTTGGCGTTTATGGCCACATTGACCTGTTTCATATTCCATGCTAAAAAAAAAAGAGCCAATTTCAACCCAGTTAACACTCTCAAATTTAGAAAACAATTTGATTTTTAGCAACAGAAACATAATATCTGCCAAAAAAACCCCAAACAAAACCTTTCAGTCAACCTTCCTATGTGGCCATAAAGATGTCATTAAAAAAAAAACCATGTGCTCTGTTGGCCTCATTCTGCCGAGATCGTGGAAGGCCTGTGTAGATGAGTAGATAATTCACATGTAACTCTAGAGTACCAGATGATCCGTTACTGCAGTTTGTTGTAGGGAAATCAAGTCCTGCAACTTAAAAACCATAATGTCTGTCCCTCCTCTACCTCATCTCCTGACAGCACCGAGCATGACTTCCCTTCACCTTCGAACAGATGCATCAGAAAGCAACTTGGGGTCAACTTTTTTCTTGGTCTCAATAAGTTATTTTGTTACTGAGCTTCAACAGCGTGACATAATCCAATGTTCTTGTCTGCCATAGTTGTAATTAATCCTGGGCAGTATAAAACACTGCAGTGTACAGAAACATCAAGTAAGACATGAATCAAATCTACATGTGCAGCCAAACAAGTGCTAACTTCTAAACTAAAAGAAAGAAAATTTCAAACATGCTCACTCTTAAATTGATTTATAGAGCTGGAGTCTTTGAAGTTTACGCAGAAAACACTTTCTTATTGCTTTTTCAAAGTTTGTTTACATCAGTAAGGCTTGTCATAAGTGATAAAAAAAAATTTAAAACATAGTTCAAGGGATAAAATTGTTTGCATGTAACTGGGATGTATCTCATTAATCACCAGAGTCTGGTCAATATACAGTCATGAGAACGCATTCACAGGAGTCTATGCAGTCCAGTGAAAAACTACACACACCCTTAATGCTTCCATAGGAATTAAGGTGGTCAATAGTAGCAATATGCTGCTCATCAAATGCACTGGATTAACCAGTCATGAGCAAGTGTGAGCACCTCTGTACAAACAGCAGGTTTTGGCTCTTTGTTGGTCTGAATCATTTAAATTTGTGCATTATTAAACGTTAAAGTTCACAACAGTAGATTTGGTCACCTAGTCAACTATGAACTTTGTTTGTTAAAGCATTCTAGAGTCTAATGTGAAGCCATCCGACAGCCAAAGCTTGACCAATATCAGCCCAAAGCAGGACAATGATCCCAATCTCAACAGCAAATCTGCAACAGAATGGCTGAAAAATAAAAAAACAAGGTGATGCAATGAGCTGCTCAAAGTCCAGACACAAACCTGATTGAAACTAGCACTAGCAGTGTTGACATAGTGTCAACAGTGTAAACAGTAACCCTGCCAAGAAAGACAGAAAGACAAAATATTTCAGGACCTTTCTTGTCTAATTTGTTATATATTCTTTAAAGCGACTGCACAACAATTCATATACTGTGTAATTAGAGGTCATCTTCTCAGCCGAAACTAGCCTGCAGGAGAAAGAATGGAGAGTGCAATACAACAAGCAGGCTAACAAATTACTGTGTTAGGGTATTAATTAGTCAAACAATGCATTACTATTGACTAGGCGATTAGGAATGCATTACTTTTTTGAGTAATGAGTACTGAAAACCACAGACAAGTGGGTATAATGAATACCACAAGGATTTTTCATTAATGTGGCCACATTAGCTCTTATTTGCATACGGCTGTAAGACTTTGTGAAAATGATGATACTCCAAGCATAAGAAGACAGATTTGGTGCATGAAACACGCAATAGGCAATGTGATGATTAGTGTGCTCAAGGATGCAACTGACCAAAACAAGTAGAGGACAAATGCAGTTCACAAACATATCATATTCTGTAATTTCATCATTGCTTGGCAATACTTTCAGCTTGTTTGTGCTGTCAGCCGTCTGTTAACGGGTCAAAGGTGTCCATAGACACGTCTTTTGGGATAACAACTGCGGTAACTTTAAATACCAGACATCACAGCACCTGGTGAGGTAACTGTTGAGTCAGTGTTATCGATTATTCACCCTATTGCTGCCGCAGATTTATGTGGATCATTTTGCACTCAGGTCTTACTCACTGCACCTTTGAAACCTCCCAGGTTTGATTGCACACATAATTAGTTTTTCTGCAGGTACTGCTGCAGGCCTACTGCTGGGCTACAAAGCAATCAGTAGCTATAGCCCATTGAGTTCAGTCCATTTGATTCAAAGTATACATCTGAAACAAAAGCACTAATTAGGACACGGACAGCCTGTTATTCCAGATACAATATTCCTCTGAGGAATCCTAATAATCCTCTAAGGTATTTACCAAATCTCTACTTCTAATATTCCTGTTGGGATATTTTTGGTTGCTTGTGCAGTCTCCTTCTTAACTCTTTCATACGGCCATTGTGCTACATTTTGATACCAGAGAATATGAAACGAAATGTAAAACCCAATGTGTATGCTTGTGCTT